GGGTCTTCAGCCCCTCAAGCATTTATCTTTTGTGTTACAAACAATCTAATTATACTCTTTTAGTTATTTTAACATATACAATTTATTATTGACTAAAGTCACCCTGTTGTACTAGCAGATACACTAGGTCTTACTCTATTTGTTTTGTACCCACTAACCCTCCCCACTGCCCACCCCCAGTCACTAACTTCTTTCTTTTTTTTTTTTTTTTTTTGATGAGGGGTCTCCCCCTGTCTCCCAGGCTGGAGCGCAGTGGCATGATCTTGGCTTATTGCAAGTTCTGCCTCCCGGGTTCACACCATTCTCCTGCCTCAGCCTCCCGAGTAGCTGGGACTATAGGCACCCATCCCAGCTAATTTTTTTGTACTTTTAGTAGAGACGGGGTTTCACCATGTTAGCCAGGATGGTCTCGATCTCCTGACCTCGTGATCCACCCGCCTTGGCCTCCCAAAGTGCTGGGATTACAGGTGTGAGCCACCGTGCCCAGCCCCAGTCACTAACTTCTGAGACACCAAGATGAGCGTGGGATTCAGTGGTGTGCAAGTTCCTCCCAGTTGCAACATTCTGACCCCACAGTCCAGGGTTCCCCAGCAGAGCTTGCTAAGAGGGTGGCCTTGAGGACACCTGCCAGCCTGTCCCCAGATGCCCACTCTGGCCCCCAGTCACATTCTTTCTGTGACTCTCACACTCCAAAGACCTTTCCTGCCCCAACTGCTTATAACTATACATACACATGGTTGTTTTTTCCCTTCTCTTTTGAGGAAATACTTTATATATATATATTTTTTTGTTTTGAAAATTGTGTGGAAATTAACATTTGTTGTCTTGGGATGGTGTGAGGCACAGAACAAGAACATCATTTCATTTCCTCATGATCTTCTGTCTCCTGGCGGGACACCCCGCACCTCTCCTTTGGCTTATGGGGGGCGTTTAGACAGGACCTAGTGATCACCAACTCTACTTCTGACAGGTGTTGGGTAAAAGTTTGCCATGTGAATAAATGAATGTATTCATCCTTAAGGTCCCCTCATTTTCCCCTAGAGTAGCCCAGAGCCTCATTTCAACCTGATAGCCTCAGTGCAGACTGTGATGTGCCCCGTTGAAGCCCCAGCTGGCATGCAGGGCAGTGGGCTCAAAGTGAGGGGCGAGAAGGGGGTATTAAATCTTTATACCTACTTATAAATAATTTATTAAAACTATTCCTGTATTAAGATATTTATACTTATTTTAGCCCTACCCTTTTTGCTTCTTTGCAGATGTGGTTTCTGCAATAATATATTAATACATACACGGCATTTATAATAAAAATATTCATACACATTCATACTCGGGGCGGTGCTCACGATTTTTTATTAATTGAAGCGCAGGAGTAAAACTTGGGAGGGTGTTGCTAGGAGAAGCAGCTTTGCCACCTCCTGCTTTCCAGGAATGGAGGAGGAGTTCCCTAGCAAAGGCGTGGAGACGGCTGGGGATTTGTTCATTCTGCAGTGAGTGTTGAGATAGCAGCTGAAGCAGCAATTGAAAACGAATGAACAAGCTTAGGATTTATTTTCCTCTTATGGGAAGACATGAGGAAATGGATAAAGCAGAGGACAAAGGCTGGCCCAGCAGCTTTGGTGACTTTAGTTTTAGGGTATTTCTTTCTAGAGTTCCAAAATGTTTGAAAGGAGACTAACAGCAGTTGTGTTTTGGCCTCAAAAGTTTTGTGCAGGACCCCCCACGCCCTGCCAGGGACACGAATGGGTGCCAGCATCTGAGCGCCTGTGACTCGGGTCCCACAGCCCGTACGCTGCCCGCCCCAGGCCCTCTGGCTGCCGCCTGGTGCTGTGGACACCTGGTTAATAAAAGGGGAGCATTTGGGGTGCAATAAGAAAAGCTGTAGTAGAACCCCAGCATGTTCCTCAGGTTTAAAAAGGGGACTGTTCTCAAGAGAGAGCAAGGGAACAGTAGATGAGATAAACAGCTCACATAGCATTTTATTTGCTTGCCATATACTACTACTTTAATGCCTACCATGGGCCAGGCATTGTCCAGAGTCCTAAACACAGGAACTCAGTTATTCTTCACAATAGCCTTAGTGCGTACAGGCATTCACCATTTTACAGATGAGCAGTCTGAAGCTCAGAGAGGTAGCGTCACTTGCCTTGGCTCACAGTGCTCTGAGCCCCAGCTGCGCTCCCTCCCGGCCCCTGCAGACTCGTGGAGGTGGGGGCTGGAGTGTGCTTTGCTCCTTCTTTGAGCTGAAAGCAGCTGGGGCCTGTCTGGTCCTGGAGTCTCTCTTGTGTTTTTTCCAGTAGGGATTCCCAACCCTCTTGGAATTATCTTGTTTGGTTTCACAAAAGGCCCTTCTAAAGATAATCTTATTTTATATGTAATATGTCTATGTAATATGATTACAAAGATGGCATTGCTTACACTGCCTTGCATGTTTTCAGCTCGTACTCTATGGAAGTCCTCCTATCCCAGGTATTCTGTACACGCTCATTCTGATCCTTAAATTCAACCTGCAAGGAACAGACTTGTGTCCGTTTCATGAAAGAGAAAATAAAAGCCAAGCGGCTTGTCCTTCAGCTAATGAAAGCAAAGGCATGAGCCCAGGTCTGTGCTGATGTTCTCTGTTAGAGGACAAAATTAAGCATAAACAGAAGTCCATCTTGTTGCAACCGAGGGAGATGACTAGTTTCACCCAAGGGTTTGATTGTAGCTGCTGAGTGGTGTGTGTCCCACCTTGCCTGGGACAGTCCCAGCTCACACCTGTCGGCCCACACTACCTTTCCCTCTCAGAAGTGTTCCAGCTTGCAGGGTGAGCTGCGTGGCCCCTGCCTGCCCTGCCTGGGGTTGGATACCATGCGCCTTCCTTGGAGACAGAGACGGTGTAGGCAGCTTCAGCCCCTCGGCCTGATCGCTTTTGATCCAGTGGAGTTTTGAAGTTTTCTCTTCTGTTGGGCTTCATTAAGCTCCCAGTTGGTCTGAGGTGCCCCACCCTCCCCCATTCTAAATGTTTTGTGGTTCTTGGTATTGAGGTTAACAAATTAGCCCAATTAGATGGATAAATTAGTCATTCTAACTTTCTGAAGTCCCGCTGGAGGAGCTTTACGAAATGGTTTATAGTTTTCTAACAAGCAAGTTAAAGGACGCCAGCATGTGGCATTTGTTTAAGAGTAAAATGTCTTAAACAATGCCCTACTTAAAAACAGATTTCAAGATTTGCTCCAGGACAGACCCTGAGCAACGTGGCAGAGTGGCACCCCTGTGTCGCCTGGTACAAGCGTTTCCAAACCAGCTGTCTTGATTTAGGGAGCTATGGCCAAGTACAGTGGAATTTACTGAAACCCACATCTAACTCCAAAGCTTCATGTTTGCCAAATTGTTTTTTCTGCACCACCCAAGAATTTCTAACAGACTTCAAAACAGACTGCTTTGAATTCTGTCTCAGTATTAAATGGTGAAGAGCCAGCAACTCAAAGGAGATTAAAAAGGAACCCCTCAGAAGGGCTTGGCACTGGGGGCTGGGAAGCAATGGGGGAAAAAGCACACTGTCCCTTAATGGCTAATTCAGAATGCATAAGCGTTTTAACCTCATTAGGGCTCAGGTGCTCGTGTGTATAAAAGTGACAGTAATCCCCACCTCACAGGGTTACTGGAGGATTAAATGAGATAATGCATATAATGTGCCTGAAACATAATAGGCACTCAATAAACTTCAGGTCCCTTCCTTCCTTCCTGGCTCCTTTCAACTTTTAGCCTCAGATGCCGGCATCCCTGTTCCTGGCTCAACTGGCTCTTCAAACAATCTTATTAATGCCTATTAAAATGAAACCCAATAAAAGTGCCAATATTTGGTGTTGAAATAATTGATGTAGCAGAGTAAGCCCCTGAAGCACCCAGGGAGGCCCCTGGTACAATTTAGCCTCACACCTGGGGGATGAATTTCACAACTGTAATTGCTACCATATAATTCTTATTAATGTTGTGCTATAATTCCTATTTATTCCACGGGGCTTGTAAATGCATTAGGACTTGTCAACATATTATTTTACACTGTTTATGATCTGTAGAATTACGTCCTTCAGGGTTGTATTGTGCAAAAGCTCCAAATAAATGGCTTTGGGCCTCATTAAAAAAGAGCAAAGCAAGGCTGCCTGTTGAAGTGGTTCTCCATCCCTGCCGTCTTGCACAGAAGTCAGTAGAGTCTATTTCAATTCAATTCTTAGCAGAGCTCTTCACCCTTAGGAATACAAGAGAATCCCTGCTTCCTGTCTGAGCTGCATGACTGCGATGGGCCAGCCCTAGCAGGAAGCGTGGCATGAGCTGAAGGGCAGACGCAGTGCCTGGGACTGCATGTGTAGAGGATCGCTTGTCTTCCAGGACGAGTCGCTGCTGGCGATTTACCCTCAGAGCTCCTGGCCTTCTGTGCCTCTTGCTCCCTAGCGTGAGGGTAACCCTCGTTTAGTTCCAAATTTCCCAGCTCAAATCTATAAAGAAAAACACCTGAAATTCATTCCTACTGGAAATGCCTAAGAAGTCCAAAACGTAACCCCCGACCCTGGAGATTTTTGCATTTACTAGGCCAGTAAAGCATAAAGCTAAGGGGACAGGGTTCTGCTCATTTGGGGGTGTCAGGCACTAGTGTGGGGAGTGTGAGGAGCCTGTCATCGTTGCTTATTTTTGGTTTTGGCCCCAGAGCGAGTCTTCCCTGTGCCTTCACAGCCACAGGCTGGGCTGCCGTAGAACCGAGTTAATGTTCTTGCTCCGCCAACTCCTAGCTGTGAATTGCTGGGAAGCCCTTGCCCTGGTCTCTTAGGTGGGAACGCAGGGCTCTTGCTCCCAGGGTTGTAAGGGAATAGCCGTGTTTGCGGTTACTTGGTGCCGCGAGTGCCCTCTCCCTGGGCCGTCAGCGCTGCGCTGCCACTGCCATGTCTCCTGTCCTGGGAGTGGCCGGGTGATCCTGTGGGGAGATGAGCGCTCCTGACAGTCCTTGCCCTTCTCTTGTCCTGCAGGCAGCGAGTATGACGAGGAGGAGGTGGACTATGAGGAGTCGGACAGCGATGAGTCCTGGACCACAGAGAGTGCCATCAGCTCCGAAGCCATCCTCAGCTCTATGTGCATGAATGGAGGGGAAGAGAAGCCTTTTGCCTGCCCAGTTCCTGGATGTAAAAAGAGATACAAGGTAACAGAGGTGCTGCGTGCTTGGCATAACCACATGGAAACAGGGCAAGCTTCATGGAAGGCAGCAGCCCTTTCTTGATTTTAAAGCGAGTATATGGGCTGGGGAGAGACACTCCCCTCTCCTGCATTAGAGTGTGTGGGCCTCACCACTGCGTGCACACAGGTGCCCTCAGGGCAGTGCTCACCCGCCACCGCTGGCTGCCGCCGGGGCTTTCCCCTCTGCTCACCTACTTGGGATCCTGGCGGTCAAGAGAGATCTTTTGTAGGAGGATCATGTCTTTGATAGTCTTCAAATTCATGTCATATTGGGGGACCCATCAGAACAGAATATCAAATATGTCAGCCTATTTATTTGCCAAGCACCTTCCGCAATGGATGGCCCTGCAGGTGGCTCACGGGAGACCACTTTGAAGTTGTAAAAGCCCCAGATGGCTCCCAGAGCCATTTGGTGAGTGTGGTAGGGTATTTAGCCTCCAGCTGAGGAAGTTCTTGCTTCCTTCCACCCACTGGCATGAAAGGGGATCAGGAGAAAAAAGGTGTTTGATATTTTTCTCACCAAACCACCCACTTCAACTTCAGCTGCCTGTCTGCTGACCCAGGTCTCTGAGGGCCTGACTGGGTGTCATGGGCAGCTGGGGGTGCTAAATTTTCTAATAAGGAACAGAAACAAAATGAGAAACACCACAACAGTCAAGTATGGGTCTAGAAGGCATTTTAAAAAACAAAATTGCAAACTTCCCCATGAGGTGTTAGCAGCTCTTTCACATCCACCTGTGAGCTAGGAGTAGAAACCTCAGAAACATACCTGGTATACTCGATGATACGCTGATTCACTCAGAGCAGACTGACTTTTTTTTTAAGCTTAAAAGAAAAGATAGCATAAGCACTTATGTTGCCCCTTCTTAAATAGGTCTCTCTGAACACTAATCTATTTCAGTACTTTTCATAGCAGCTGTCGATGTAAAAGCATGGCACACAAATGTACCACAAAGTTAGCATTTCTAGGTTTCACCTACTCTATGTACTGTTACGGTTCCATGATGCAAAGTCCAGATGCTCGTTGTTTAAGCTGAAATGAACTCCCCAGGACGCAGATGTGAGAAGCCTCTGCGGGCTGGCAGAGGAGCACTGCATTTTGGGTCAGAACAGGCCTCAGGACGCATCTGTACATTCTGTGTCAGAGGCATGGAGTTGGGAGAGGACGGAAGGGCCGCTCAGGGGTTACCTTGGGATACAAAACATCCACAGGATTATTGGACAAGCCCATTTTTCCAGAGGGCAGCGCTTCATTGCAGAAAGAGACTTTTTCCTTCTTTCTTGATCTCTACAGAGAAGGCCATGACTGGCCCCTGGGGCTGGTTCCCACCGCATCTCACCGCAGCTGTTCCTCCCCACCACTGCCGTTCTGCTGCCTGCTCTCCAGGGCCGAGCACCGGGCCGGGGGTGTCTTCCACATGGGCCATGTTAAAAGCGGGAGCCAAGTAATGACCTGTACTCAGGCTGACCCGCCAAAACACAAAGGAAATACAAGCTACGCCCTGAGTTCTGGGCAGCGGGTGCAGGGGAGGCATCCCCTCTCCCCCACCTCTAGCTCCATCCCCTTCTCTTATTCGCATCCTTTCCTTCTTGTCATTTCTGTTTTGTCATTCTTTTACTTTTCCTCTGCTTGGGTTTCTGGCCGTTTCCCCCTTCCGTTGTCTGTGTCTGGGTTGGTGGGGGCTTTTCTGAGTATTCTCTCTCCACCACTGAGAATTCAATGAGCCTTGGGCTGAAAGGACCGCCAACTCCATCCCCATTGACTGGCAGGTGACATGGGCGGCAGTGGGTGGTCCTGATCCCGCGAGGGAAGCGTGAGTTTCCTTTTCTGGGCCAGAATGCAGGTCATGATACGCAGGGCCATAGCAGGCTTGTGACCTCACCTCTGACCAGGCACTGGAGATGAGCCACTCCTACATCCCAAGCTGGCGGCTGACTCTTTCTGCCCCGAAGTTGCTGGCTGGAAGGTAGGGCTGTGCTCCAATGGTATTAGTATTTCATCTTATTCACTACATCATTGCTGGCTTGGGTACTGGAGAGAAGAGAGTGGGATGAGCTGGGTACTGTGGACTCGGGCAGAATCCAGAAGTGCTGCCACCTCATTTGTTCCCAAGGCAAATCAGACTTTTCTTACTCCCTGCTTGCTGCTGGCAGCAGTCTCTGCCAGCCGAGTCTCCTGGACACTGACTCAGGATCAGCAGTCCTCACCATTTCATTGGCATTTACAGAGCAGACAGAATGAGGTACTGAACTCCCAGACCTCATGCCGAGCAGGGAATGGGAAAAGGACCCCGCAGTAAAGCCAGGTCTCCACATTTCCTTCCCATGTTAACTCCTTAGCCTAGGATGCTCCCTACCCTCTGTAAAAGAAAAAAACAATGTTTCCCTCAGTCATCATAAGTTCTAGTTGCTACATCTTCTCTGTAACAACAGAGAGATTACTAAGAGAAAAACAGTTTATCAACATGTGTATTTCATATACACATGGGAGACAAGACACCCAGGGAATGGGCGGTTCTCACAGCTTATACAGCGTCTTCAACAAAGAACAGTTAAGTACATTTTTAGAGAAGTAACAAAGGAAAAGGGCTTTGAGTCTCTGGGAGCAGCAACTTGTGGAAAGAAAAAAGAAAAGCAAAAGGCAGACAAAAGGCCTGTTAGTGTATTAGCTTGTTCATGTAGATTCCTCCAGTACCATCTCCAGGCCAATAAGAGTCTAAAGTCCTCTTCATTGGTTAACCTTTGATCTCCCTGGAAGAAGTGGGAGTGGGCTTTTCTTTGTCTTTGTAAATTTGTGTCCCGTTTTTAGGCACACAGAGGGAGAGCAGGGACTCCTTCCTGCATCTGCTGCTGCTTAACCACCTTCAGCTGAACAGTCCTTAGGGCAAAGAGGCATATTCCGGTCCCCTGTCCCTTCTTCTCTCCCTCAGTATCTCTCATTTTAATTCCGCTCCTTTCTCCAGCACAGCTCCAGTGCCACCACCTCTGGGAGCCCTCACCAACCTCCCAGACCTACTCCCCTCTCCGCCTCTCGTAGGTCAAGTTCTCATCCTCCCCACATGGTTTTTCTACATTGAGGCACCATCTCCCTTACTGCTCCCAAAACCCTCAGAGCTCACTGTCCCTCAGCACCCAGCACAGGTCTCAGATGTGACAGATGCTCTGAGGGCAAAGGAATCAAGGCATAGCTCATGGGAACACGGAAATGTGGGCTCCCCACTGAGCCCTGGAGCCCCAAAGCTGTGGGAGGATTATTTCCTTTGTATCCTTCCCAGAGGCGTTCCAGGCCACAACCACTGAGCCCACCACCCTTGCCCTACTCACACTTGCCTGAATTCAGGGAACAGAGACGACTTTCCTTCCTTATAATGCAGATAGGTTTAAAAGATGGGTTGAAGTGCTTTGAGGTTTTTTCCATTTGATAATTTTTATGTTAGAATGGCGAAGATTAAATGCATTTTAAAGGTTTTTTGTTTTGTTTTTTAAGAATTGTAAAACAGAACAATACCCCGCCCCCCAAAGTTCCTCTGGAGTCCTCTGCTGCAGAGAGCACGGTGACAGTTTCATCAACAGAGACAGACCCAGATAGTGTCCCGTTTTCAAACACTGAGAAACACTTAATGATGAGGGAGTGCTCACAAAGTAACATTAAGTGGAAAAAAGGTATTGAGAGAGAGATTATTAACTCAATTATGTAACTTAAGATATAATTAACTCAAATATTAGCAGTGATAGTATCTGTTCTTTTTTTATGCTCTTCTGTGTTTTCTGAATTTCTGCAATTGTCTAACTGAACATATTACTTAAATGACTGAGGGAAGAGGCAATTCTTTTTTTCCTAAAGACCCCACCCAACTTGCTAGACACCCTGTGTGCTGGTGTGCATTGGCCAGTAGGGAACTGCGTGCGCCTCAGCCCTCCTGCTTTCTGCGGCTGGTGGGGTGTCCACATTGCTGCAAGTGGTTTCACTTTTAACCCCCACCATTACCACTACTACCATCCCCAGTTTGTTTTCTTACTCTTCTTCCTCATCAAATCCCCAAACAACTTCATCTTCTCCATTGTGTACAACATCCAGGCCCCTGGGAAACTGACCATTGGGCTTATCTAGGTCAAGTGTCATGTTGTACACATGAAGGCCTGAGTACTGACAACAAAGGTCCCATTCAGGTAAGGACAGGATGGCCCAGCTTGGCATCTGGACTTTAGGCTTCATGATTTGATTTGGAGTAGACTTTTAGAAAAGCCTCTAAATCGCCTGCTGTCTATTGACTGACCTAATTCCATCAGAGGGGACAAGTAGTTCCTAATGGTAGAACCCCCCACCTAAGTCCTCCTTTCTACCTCCTACCTTCCCACTTTCTTCCCTCACTAGCTTGATGTCAGAGCATCATTGTAACTCACAGTTTTCTCCAGACTATTATCCCAATTCTTCTTCCCAACTGGTAAGATTTTTCAAAGACCACCAGCTGGTTGTTGTAATTAACAAGTACCTAGCACGTTAGGAGACCACATGAGGAAATATGGACTATGGAATCGGACATCCCTGGATTCCTATTCCAATTCTGTAATTTACAAGCCATGTGATCTTGGCCAAGTCACTCACCTCCTCTAGGAGTCAGTTCTTTCATCCAGAACATGAGTATTAAATAAGGCAATTGACATCAAGTACCCAGTATGATAAGCTCTTAATACACGTTAGCAACCTTCCTTGCCCTTTTAAGCTTGATTCCATTTTTTTCAAAGACCAAAGAATTTCAGCAATTCCATCATTTCAGGTTTCCAGCCATTATTTATTTTTTTACTAATATTTTTGAAAGATCAAATTTGTTTCAGGACTGATGCAGTAAGAAACTTTGGTGGATTTTTTCAGAGCTCCTCTGGTCTTGTAAAGAGGATGTTCCTGCGGCCTCTAACTGAATGGCTGGTTGAAGGAAATGTCTTCATAGAGTCTTACTTGACCTTGTACTAACATTTGTGATAAGGGCAACCCACTGACACTTGTCAACATTTTTAATCACGCAGCAAAGACAAAGGAGTGATGACACAGCAAGTTCTTTGACCAACCCTGGAAATACCTTATGTTTCTAAATGTGCTTCCTGATTTTTCCATAAAGCTGATGTGTGTGTAGTGTTGGCTGTTTTCCTCACAGTCTTATGCCAGACACACAACATAATGTTTACATTCAAGCTGGGAACGGGCCACAGCGCTTGCTGGAATCCCCTCAGCCCTGGCTTGTCCTTCTCTTGATGAATGACAGATCTGACTTCACGTTGGACTGGCTTCTCTAGTTTTAGCAATTTCTCGTCTTAAATCTTTTTTTTAGCCTAATTAGTTATAAAAACCTCAGCCCTCAGTAGAATGGCTAAGCCCTGACACCATTAAGAGTTGCTCTGCCTTTTTGTTTCTTGGTTAATGCTTTTCTGGTTTTGGTTTCCTCTATTTTCTGACAAGGTTTTGAATGGTTCTGGGGCACAGAGGTAGCTGGATTACTAATGATCTGTCCTGCATCAAGTTCCCCATGAAAACAAGGACATGAAATGTTTTAGTAGCCCTTCATCCGCAGAAAAGGACCCTGCTAGGTGCTCAATATTCGTTGAGCTATAAATGGGATATTACTAAGCAGGCAGGTGCACATCTCTAGCATTTGTAACCCAGGACACTTTCTACCATATTAAAGTTGGAAGTCTTTTTCTAATGGCCATAAAACTAATATTCATTCTCTGTCTCTCTCACACACAATACATGGCTTAAAACAATTATCTTTTACAGTTTTCTGGGCTGCCTGGCTCAACAAGGTGGTTCTCACCTGGGGTCTCTCACGCAGTTGCTCTAAGACACCAGCTGGGGCTAGAATCATCTGAAGGCTCACTTGGGCTCGATACACACGTTGGCCTCTTCACTCGTGTGCCTGGGCCTTGGAGGGGATGGAACCACCAGGGACTGGCAGGACATATCTACCCATCAAACATCTCAGTGGGTCTGATTCTGCCACTGCCACTACCCTCCCCTTTCCTGCCCCAGCAGGCTCTGAAACCCCCAACATGCCTCTTAACAAGACTGAAGAACTTATGTTTGAAAGGATTGATGCTGGAAGAACAAGGCTGGAGACAAGGTACAGAAGGCCTGGAGCCAGGTGTTCAGAGCAGACTGTTTGTCCTGCTTCAAATCACTGGACAACCTTCAGACTGAGCCAACTGCTACTTGGCACCCCTGGGTTCAACAAAGTCCAGCAGAGTTCTCTTCCAAGGACTTTTTTAAAACATTAACGTGCATTGCACATCTCTAATGTAGTGGTAATAACCACCAAACATTTATATTTATATTTAGTAGCAACCCTTCTTCCATACTAGTGAGGCATGAACTTGGGAAGTGCTGTTGTAACTTCATTCACTCACAGAGACTTACTGAGCATCTACAATGTGCCAGGCACTGTGCTAGATATTCATGAGATGACAGCAGGGAGCTGTTTTCTGGGAGCTCTTTAAAGGCATCCCATGAAGAGTGAGAACAGTTTTGTGTTGGAATCCTTTAGCTGGGCAAGGGACTGGGCCTCGCAGGACTGGATTTAGGTAGTATTTTAGGAAACAGCTCACTCTCCTAAAATCTGTGCTTTTTGTTTTAGGCTGTCTTCTGTGTTCCCTTACTCTCTAATCTGGCAATTGCTAACTTGGAAATTAAGACCTATGCTCAAATACCACACCTCTGCCATCCCTTCTTAAATCTTCCACCAGTTACTTACTACCCTTGAGCCTATTTCCTCACCATTTAATTGGGATGAGGATTACTGGTTGTTAAAACTGTAGAGAGTGACTCTAAGAATGGAGTCTTACATAGAATATGCTGGTGAGCTAGCAAAACCGATTAATAGAAATTCAGAAAGCATTTTGATAACTTTAGTATCCAGATGCTAAGAAGTCCAATCTTAGTGACTGACATTATATAAATAACCTTAAATTTTTAAAGTTCATTGTATGTTTGGAATGTAATACTTAAGGTAAGGCCCAGTCTGACCACAGGTGCTTATTAAACATATACAATTGTACAGTGGGGTGACACGATTTGGGCAACAAGTAGCTCCCACGGTGGCATCAGAGATACTGGCTTAGGGCAGAGCAGAACATTGACAAAAACTCTGGTTAAGGCATGGTAGGGAACTGTTAACACAGTTGTCTAGAAGCAAGATGTAAATTGAGTTTTCAAATAAAAAATTTCTGTATGTCAAACTTTGAGATGTGCCCTAATGTTTTTTTTCTTTAGAAAGATATTTTGTTGGACATGCTGAAGACATTTGTATAGGATTGTTCACTGTTAACTTTATTTAGAGTGGAAAAGATTCAGAGGATTTTCTTTATACAGTCTAAGTCCTAAATATGTATTTTATATAAAATTGGAAGAAATCAGTAATTTCATTTTCAGAGTAATTGAGGCACATCTGAAATTTGGAGTCAGCTGTGTGTGTGGCCATCCGTACAGCCCATGATTGACACACCAGAATGTCCCTAAGGGTCCCAACTGGAGTCCTTGCAAAAGACTACACGCTAAACAGCTGCCATCCAGGAACTGCAGTCCAGACCCAAACTGAGGTTTCCCAAGTTTGACAGGCATTCTGTGAATCCATCTAATAAGAAATATTTTCGTCTTCTCCACAGAATGTGAATGGCATAAAATATCACGCTAAGAATGGTCACAGAACACAGATTCGTGTCCGCAAACCATTCAAATGTCGCTGTGGGAAGAGTTACAAGACAGCTCAGGGCCTGCGGCACCACACAATCAATTTCCATCCCCCGGTGTCGGCTGAGATCATCAGGAAGATGCAGCAATAACATGCTGGTCATAACTGTGCCAAGAAATCCTCACCAGCAGTTGCTGATTTTGAAAACAGCCACCTTTTTTCAGGGGAAGCATTCAGCAACCCTTTAAAGAAAAAGAATTAAATGCATGCTTTAAATTTTTTCTGTAATTTTGGAATGATGTATCTTTGTAGAGTTAATGATTTTGTACATTTGCACATGTAATCATCATACCCATTTTCATTACTTTGATATAAGGTGCTAAACAAAACAAGCTCTAGGTTCTTCAGCACATTTCCCCCAAAACAAAATAAAATCGAGGGCATGTTGCATATTGTAGAATTGTATTGCAGTGGTATCAACTGGGGGGAGGAGGGGCTGGCACTGAGATGTTTTTTCAAGATTGTAATGTGATTGACGTTTTCAACACATCAACTCACATATGTTCAAAACCAAAATAATACCTTCATTATCAAACTGGTTACCATGCCTTACATAATGGAGTTAGTATTTGTGAGTAGAAAGACTTTAGGTAATGGAAATATAAATAAGAAAGAATGTTTAACATAATATGCTAAAAATATTTTCATATTTAAATAACATACATAAAAGGTGTGCTTTCTGTGTTTTATATTATCTTGCAAATCCTTTTGCCCTTTAAAAAGCTGAAAATCTTGCCATCTGACTTACTAGTCATTTTAGTGTTATAAATGGTATTTTGTACAAAATAGTCTATTCAGTTCATTCATTCATTTAATACACATTCATTGAGTGCCTGCTGGATACAAGGGATTCAATTTATGCCTATTGATATCTGCGGACCAAGATACCCACTTAGTGAAATACTTTTCCCTGAAATCTGTTAGGAAACACTTTGAAATACTTAAGTGCAAATTTTGTGTGTGTGAAATTTAGTTATATCTTCATCTTCAGATGAAGTTTTAAAGCACTTTGTAGTTCTCTATTGCCAACAATTTAATGTTTATGTGTTGCCAATTCTTGCAACCACTGCCCTACCAAACCTGTGGGTTGCAAATCAGAACTAAAATTCTAAGCACGTTTCAAAGAGGAACATTTTGTTAAGACCCCTGTTGCCTCCTCGTCATGCTCATTTTTGACTTATTTTTAAAAGGCACTTTTCTCATCACATTGTAGAGAGGTCTGCGTTCTCATTGGAAATGTCTGTTTTTAGCTTTATAAAACACTTTGCTGAAATATGAAAATGAGCCTTATTGACAATTAAGTGCTTCTTGCAGCAGGTGGTCAAAGAAAAGCGTGACTAATATGACCCGTTAGAGTAACCTACATCTGGACCATTCCTGAAGTTTTTCCTCACCGACAGTACCATCATGCCTTGAGTGTTCTTTTCTCCCAAGTGCTATTCCTTAAACATGAGAGTTTACCAGTTGCCTAATTATGCAATAAAAAATGCTTCAAGATAGCTAACTGCCCATAAAACAGACTCAAATTGCTTATTAAAAAGTTTCTTCCCATGTTCCCATTTGATGAAAAGTCTTTCTTACGTAACATATAGCTGGGAAGCAGGGGTCCCTCCTCAATTTTCAAACATTTTGAAAGGATGACAATTCTGTTAGCCAGATGAGTAAACCTCTGTATTCATAAGTTCTGAATCTCTCATAATGAGGGATTTTAAAGTATTTATAAAGACACTGCCCTCTAAAAATTTCCTCAGATCTGAAGTATGGCCTTGGTCCTGCATATACAGTGTTATCCTATGTTTAAAAGGGTGATCCAGATATGAGACGCAACTAGTTGGTGCATAAGAAGGCCCCACTTGGCTATTTCATATCTACCTACAATCGACCAAAAAAATTTTTTTAGGCCAGCAATTATTATTTAGCTTCGCTCCTTCTAGTGCAAGAAACTGCAGGCTGGATCAGTAGTTCAACAGCTAAACAGTCATACAATAGTCATTGTGCATGTTACATTTCTTTCACTGATAAATTCCAATTTCTATTTACTTATTCATTGTGACAGTATTACTAAACAGGTAAGGATGGGAATATTTTGTTATACTGTGTATAGTGAATGTATTGTACTGTGTCTGTGAAAACTGTGCTTTAAATTATATTTTCATATGTTTTGTTGGGGACAGAGCACATTAAGTCTGAAAGCAACAGAGGTTTGTTTTAGAACTGAAGGCAATTTAATCAAAATTCCTGTCAAGAAAAGCTGCTTATAAATGTAAATGAAATCACATTGAAAATAAACTGCCTCTGACCCAAAAATAAATATGGCTCTTTATTTCCCTTAGTGTCTATTATGAAAACCAGTATCAAGTTTACCGCGGAAATTAATTAATACATCCATTCGGTTCCTCGTTCTAAGGCTGTTCAGCTGATGCACGTAGACGTTATTCCCTTACATTTTTTGCTTAGATTAGCCTGTATTACTTTTCTATCAATAACAAGCTTGGATTTAAACTATTTTAAAATAAGTTCTAGGCCAGTAAGATCAACAGTGTCTACTACTGTAATATTCAAAGGATACTTTTGGATTAACATGGTCCATAATTATTAACTGCAACAAAAATGCTCCCATTGTTGAACATATTTTACCGAAGTATATTCTGCTCGTCATATAACCTGTCAGGAAGCTGAAACTTGGAGTCTCCAAAGCTATTGCTTCCTAGGACTGCTGTGTCCTAACAGCTGGCATACGAATGCCTAATACTGGTTTGCCCTAGACTCAAACCTTTTAAAGGATTCTAACAATATACAAACTCTGCTTCCACAAACAAATACAAGTGACATATGCTGCAGTTCACATAGAGCAACCCAAAATGCCCCCAAGTCTAAATATTAGGTTAACATCTTCAATAGCTTAGTTTGCTCAGAACAAATGTAAACTATTTTGATAACTACAAAAGCAGCAAAATCAAAAGCTGGTACTTTTTAAATTATTCACATGCACATTGTAAAAGGGAAAGGGAATACAGTTCAGAAGAATTTTAAAGGCCCAAACCAAAAAAAGATGTTCAAGATGCTAGATTAATGAAAAACTCACAAATAAATTTGACAACAATGAAATTATAGATCTTGGAAAATGTGTCCTCGTTCTTTAATGTTAGTGAGAGTTCTATACAGCACAGACATAACTGAAGAAACACATTACTTTGATTTGGGTTTATGCATTGTACTTTTAATCACTTACTGAGAATATTTCAAATTTATATTCTCATCAGGAAAATGTAAAAAAGATACTGATATATATTCTGTGATTTTATGCCACAAACACCCCTGTTATGAGATCATTTAATAGGAAAACAATGATATTGACATCTCTTGTTCCATTTTCCCATTAGATATATACATACAACTTTAAGATAGTTTAAAAATAATCATTCAGGTTATTCTAAAATTTTGTCATAAAATTAGCAAAATATGCCTTCTGTTAATTGCTAAAACCAACATTTCACATATAAAAAGCATGTGATCTCATTCTACATGCAGCTCCATTTCTGGAAATTAAAAACCTATCATTTCATGGGCTAAATTATAGAACTCTCTGTATTTGAAGAACTACTTCACAAGACTGTTATGATAAATGCTTTTTATTACATAATATTTAGTAGTCATGCTCAATCAACAAGGTCAACAGAAACTTGTGAATATTCTGCTAAATAATGTAGCACACTAATACATACACATTTTTCAGTGCAGTAACATTGAAATAATCCTTGTATCCTTTATTCAGACAATTCTGCAAACTAGGGAATAAATAAAGATAAGAACACACAAGAACTTTGTTTTAAAGCAAGTAAGATTAACAGATTAAAATTTATTGATAAACGAAAGACTGACCCTGATCCTAGTAACACCGAACTCAAAGTAGCTCCTGGTCAGAAAGTGCAATAGAGGGTGCATGAAAGCATCACTCTATGGTCTCCTCAGTGGTCTATTTTAGGTGATTTTTTTTTTTTTTACCGCTAAACTGTCTTAACTCATAATAAAAAGTAACTAGTCAAAATTTAGAACATTCTGATCAAAATGGGTCTGCACATGCCTTTCAAACACCTGCTGGTCATAGTCAGGAGGGAACTGCTCGCTGCACATCGGGCACACTTTCCAGTGACTTTCAACATGTTCTTCAAATTTGCTCTGATCGTAGTTGGGAGGAAACATTAACTCACAGAGGGGACACTTCTTGTGAACATCAAAGCTTAAAGAGAAAAATGAAAAAATTACATACTTCTAATAAATGTAGAACAACAGTAACTTGTCCGTATATGACAAGGTTCCATTTATCTAGTTAGCTGATATTCATACTAAACAACCTACCTTACAAGTCTTTACTCCAGAAACCTTTCTCTGCTTCCAAATGCTTGCTGTAGACAATTGTGTAACCCATTTATAGAGCCTCTAAATTTAGTTTTACAATTAGATTAACAAAACCTTTTTTTCCCCCTTAAAACCTTCCAAATCCAATCACAATTATGTGAAATTATTAGTACCAAGAATTCTTCCACATTTAACAGAAAATGCCTTTTGTAAGACTGTAAGGATAAATACAACTCATAACTTCCCACCAGTGCATTTGGTTTAATAGCTAAAAGTTTTTATGGCACTGGTTCTCAAATGATTGCATGCATCAGAATCAGTCGGAGGACACGTTAAAACACAGATTGCTGGGCCTATGCCCAGTGTTGGTGTTTCTGGTTCAGCTAGGCCAGGCCCTACATATGTGCATTTCTAATGAGTTCCCAAGGACCACCTTTGAGAACTACTGGCCTAAATTAACCCAAATTATACAAAGGAAAGAAAAATCTACCTGGAATCAAAGCAAAAGCCTGTCCCATGCCCACGTAAGTGTTGACTTGGAGGATCAGGAGCAGTAGGCACATTCTCATCTTCCTAGGGGAAAAATAATTTTGGAACTTTTAAGGAAAGTAAAACCAAATATAAATTCCTTAATTCAATCAAGCACATACTGACTGTATAAAAGAAGATTACACTTCAGGAAATTTTCTCTCTGTTATCATTTAATTAGACTTTCAAATAAACATGTTTGAAACTCTGCAGAGTATTTCACTATGGACTAACAGTGTGGTGTTCTTGAAATAAAAAGCAGTATTCAGAGGAACAGAGACATACCATTTACCATACCTGTGTGTGTAAATGAAGCTGAGAACAGTAGACCTTTTCAAACCTATATACGTAGGTAACTTTTACTGACTTTATCTTTCTGCAGACTGGGTGGCCACTTTTTTTTTTCTTTTTTTTTTTGAGATGGAGTCGTCACTGTGTCACCCAGGCTGGAGTGCAGTAGCACGATCTCTGCTCACTGCAACCCCTGCCTCCTGGGTTCAAGCAATTCTCATGCCTCAGCCTCCTGAGTAGCTGGGATTACAGGTGTGCACCACCATGCCCAGCTAATTTTTTAGTAGAGACAGGGTTTCACCATGTTGGCCAGGCTGATCTCAAACTCCTGGCCTCAAGTGATCCGCCCTCCTCGGTCTCTCAAAGTGCCGGGATTTCAGGCATGAGCCACCGCGCTCGGCCCTACTTTCAATATTGTCAGACGGCATTACTGTCTCAAATGTTCTCATTTAATAACAGTAAGCTTAATTTATAAGAAAGACAGTCTTTTTGACAAGATACATCCATTGCATGATATACAGAAATCATAATGAAAAACTAATAGAGTATGTGTGAGTTTGTATATGTATATTCTTGGGAACACACAGCAGCAAATCCAACTGGATTAACACATGTTAAAGCAAAGCAATGCACTCAACTACAAGCCTCAAAACTCTGCTGTAGAGGAACAAAATCCAAAATTAAATATTTCAGAGGTTGTCAAGTGAGACTTCTAAAAATGTGTGCATCTAGTTTTAATCAGAAAGAAAACACTGATTTGGATTCCCATGGCTGCATCCCAGCAGTCAGTTTTTAGAGATCTGTACGTGCTACATCAACAGCCAAACACACAGGCTCATTTAACACTAAAATAAGGCATATCATCTAAATTGCCTATTTTATCTCAACAGCTGTTAGTTGCTCCATGTCATGAACTAACAGCATATCCCCAAGTGTAGCTGGCACTGATGAAGTCTTTATGTTACTAGGTAGGCATGCTTGCCCCAGAGCTGCTATTAATGGGTCAGTTAAGTCCGTTATGGGAAGGAGCGCCAAAAAAGTATATACGGTGTAAAGTGTAAAGTGAACAAACAAAAGACAAAATGAGTATTTCTGGTACTTGACTATCCTTCTGACAATATTCCCCTCTTGAAAAGTAAAAGAGGAGGTAAAATACTTTTGTTTATCTATGAGTCCCATAGGATATAACTGAGCAAAAGGAAAACAGGACAGATAACCTAATGGGGGATTAAATTGGGAGATAAAACAGGAATCCTTTATATACTTCAAAAATTCAATCAAGTAACTAAAATCCAGATCTTTTTTTTTTTTTTTTTTTTTTTTTGAGACGGAGTCTCCCTCAGTTGCCCAGGCTGGAGTGCAGTGGCGCAATCTCGGCTCACTGCAAGCTCCGCCTCCCGGGTTCACGCCATTCTCCTGCCTCAGCCTCCCGAGTAGCTGGGACTACAGGCGCCCGCCGCCACGCCCAGCTAATTTTTCGCATTTTTTTTTTTTTAGTAGAGACGGGGTTTCACTGTGTTAGCCAGGATGATCTCGATCTCCTGACCTCGTGATCCACCTGCCTCAGCCTCCCAAAGTGCTGGGATTACAGGCGTGAGCCACCGTGCCCGGCCCCAGATAGCTTTTAAGTCTGTAGATACAAAGAAGGAAGATGAGAAAGTAGTTGAATCTGCTGACAGTGAATTCTGATTCTGTGCCAGGTTACTCTAGCTCCCAGATTTAGGCCTCCCAGCAACAATCTCTGAAACACTGAGTATGCTTAAACAACTACAAATCAGTGATAAGGAACAAAAGTTTCTCACTCATCTTTGAAAAACAAAAATCCAAAATTATGAAATGTTGAAGAAAATAATGGGAAAGATAAAACGGGGCAGGTCTTGATATATTTTTTAGAATTTTTAATGACAAATATTTAAGATAGAACACAATTTTCCAAAGGCCAAAAATGTAATGGAACCAAAAATCTCATAACCTTCTTTTCCTGTTTTATAATAGCTAACAGCCTACACCAATTTACTGCTTCCATGAATCAGCTAACAGTAGAGTTTGTAGCTAAGGTTTCAGATTCAGACAACCTGTCAGACATGTTAACCCTGCTCGTTAAATACCTGGAGGGGAAAAAAAGTAGAAGTAATTTATACTTTCTAAGTCATGTATAATTTGGCAATGATAACTCGATTATTCTGTTATCTTCTACCACCTATTACCTAATAAAAGGGGAGAGGGGTTCAAGAGTATAATTCTACATGTTATAATGAGAAACAATAAGTTCTCATGAAATAAAACATGAACCATCTACTCAGAACATAGGCTGAAATCAGAGAGTATGCAGTAAGCACTCTTAAGAAGCCAATACATATAATAACGTCTCTCATGATACTGACAGGCAAAATGACGAGTGAAATCTTTACCTGAGAATACATTTTTTTTTTTTTTTTGAGACGGAGTCTCGCTCTGTCGCCCAGGCTGGAGTGCAGTGGCCGGATCTCAGCTCACTGCAAGTTCCGCCTCCTGGGTTTACGCCACTCTCCTGCCTCAGCCTCCCGAGTAGCTGGGACTACAGGCGCCCGCCGCCACGGCCGGCTAGTTTGTTTTTTTTTTTTTTGTATCTTTTAGTAGAGACGGGGTTTCACCGTGTTAGCCAGGATGGTCTCGATCTCCTGACCTCGTGATCCGCCCGTCTTGGCCTCCCAAAGTGCTGGGATTACAGGCTTGAGCCACTGCGCCCGGCCAAGAATACATTTATTCTATTTTACTCAACAAGCCTGGTTAGTTTCAGAGCCATAGTAGATTAAAAATACTTTAATAGGGAAATGAAGCTATTATAAGCAGGCTGACTGGCAGTTTAGGGAAAAAAAAGCTATTGGGAAAAAGAGAAAAGCAAGACAAGAACTCAAAATATCCGATGTTAGGCATTTTACTATTGGTAACAGATCACACAGCCTTACTATGCATCTTAAAAGAATATGACACCATGTAACATTGATTTTTTAAATACACCTTAATCATCAAGGTTATATTGAATGAAAGCCAGAGAATCATGTATTCTGTTTTAGAAATATTTCTACCTCAAATTATTAAATTATCAGTTTCAGCACTGAAACTTACAAACCCAAAGGGTTTAACAGCACATTTAAAAATATCACCACCTAGTCTTTCAGCTAAACTACTAAAATAATCTTGTAAGCAAATTTTATTGAGAATACCATACTGAAATATATTTATGAACAATTCCAAATTTTAAGAAAAACCTTTTCAGAAAACTTTTATTAATATTACTTTAATCCATTTAAAGATCTAAACGCCCCATTGTGTTCATCTACCTTTACACCCATCAGCACAATACTCTTTCCATTACAAACTGGTTTTTAAGCAAAGGAAACAAGCTACGATAAACTGATGCTCAGTTTGAAACCCAAAAACTTCTCATTATCTGCTCAGGATATACTCTGTACAAAAACATTCTTGTTTTCTTATTAAAAGCATGTGACCACCTTGGACATTTAATAGTAATTTTTTTTTCTTTTGAGACAAGGTCTTGCTCTGTCACCCAGACTGGAGTGCAGCGGCACAGTCATGGATCACTGCAGCCACGACCTCCTGGACTCCAGCAATCCTCCCATCTCAGCCTCCCAGGTAGCTAGGACTACCGGAGTGTACCACCACACTCGGCATTTTTTTTTAAGAGACAGGATCTCATTATGTTAACCAGGCTGGTTTCAAACTCCTGGGCTCAAGCAATCCTCCCACCTTGACCTCCCCAAAAGTGATGAGATTACAGGCATGAGTCACCTGCCTGGCCTGATGTAAAGGGGGTTATAACCTGTTGGAAAATAAATAGGGTTAGATCACACTAACTTCAAAATACAATCATGATCATACATGGTAGTTCCTCAAAAAATTAAAAATAAAATTACCATATTATCCAGCAATTCTACATCAGGGTGGATGCCCAAAAGAACTAAAAGCAAGGACTTGAACAGATATGTTCAATCACGAACCCATGTTCACAGCAACGTTATTCACAATAGTCAAAAGGTACAAACAACCCAAATTTCTATTGATATACGCACAGATAAACAAAACGTGGCATATATCCATAGGGTAGAATATTATTTACCCTTATTCAAAAGGAATGAAATTCTGATACACGTTTACAACATGGATGAACCTTGAAGACATTATGCTAAGTGAAATAAGCCATTCGCAAAAAGACAAATACTATATGATTCCACTTACATAAGGTACCCAGAGTAGTCAAATTCAAATTACTGGTGGTTTTCAGGGGCTGGAGGAAGAGGGAATGGGAATTGTTGTTTAATGGGTAAGGAGTTCAGTTTTGCAAGATGAAGAGTTTCCAGAGATTGGCTGCACAGCAGTAAAGTTAACATTACAGAACTATATGCTTAAAAATGGCTAAGATGGCAAATTTTATATTTATTCTACCACAATAAAAAAAAATGCCATCTATCATGATCAAGTTATGGGAATACATACTCAGGGGTTAATGACTGAGTTACATCATCTGTATTATTAGTATCCAGACTGTGGGACTCTATCTACTCAGCATTTCCCAAACCGTGTTGTAATTCTACCTCTGCTAGGAACTATTAATTGAAATACTTAGTTATCATTCAGGAATTAGTAATGAATATCAAGGAAGAAAGTTTTACCACTTAACAAAACTCTTACTAAGTTGGTAATTATTACTTTAGTTCAAGAGCATTCACACTTTAAGAAATTTATATATTTGC